CTTCCTTCCTTCCTTCCTTCCTTCCTTCCTTTCTTTTTCTTTTTTTCTAATAAGAAAGCATGCAAGAAAGACACAAAATGAATTAATAAAACATTTTCATTCTCTTCTGAGTATATTGAACACCAAGTAAAATGAGTCACAGCATTCCTGAATGATGTACATTGATTGCCCTTTGGCTCAAGAGGTGAAAGTACAGGAATCATCGTAAATTCTGTCACCTCCCGTGTCTCCACTGTAGTTATCTACATGCTTTATGTTTGTCAGCACTCACGTGCATAGCTCACGTAGGTGCCCTGGGCTTTCTTGACCCATTTTAGATCTTGCATTCTTGACTTCTGCACAAGAGAAATAACGTGTTCATGTTTTCTCTCCTTAGACCATCCAAGAGGTTGCCGGCTATGTACTCATTGCCCTCAACACAGTGGAGAAGATTCCTTTGGAAAACCTGCAGATCATCCGAGGAAATGTGCTCTATGAAAACACCCATGCCTTATCCGTCTTATCCAACTATGGCACAAATAAAACCGGACTGCGGGAGCTGCCCATGAGAAACTTACATGGTGAGGGTACAGGGAGGCTGTGGGTGCAGAGAGCCACTCAGGTGGTACTCAGCGAAACTGTCACTTTTCTTTTCTTTTGTTTTTTAAGCTTATTTATTTTGAGAGAGAGAGAGAGAGTGAGAGCGTGCATGAGCAGGGGAAGGGCAGAGAAAGAGAGGGAGAAAGAGAGAATCCCAAACAGGCCCCGCACTGTCAGCACAGAGCCCCACACGGGGCTCAAGTTCACAAACCATGAGATCATGACCTGAGCCGAAATCAAGAGTTGGATGCTTAACCAAGTGAGCCACCCAGGCATCCCCTCAGTGAACCTGTCACTTTTCTTAATGCCACTCGAGAAGACTTTTATTCATCAAATACAAAGGTATTGAGTGCCAACTGTGTGCAAGATACAGTAGATGGAAGTTTTTAAGAAGATGGTAGCTGATGAATGTTAAGAGAAGATTTAAGCCAGGTACCACTTCCTTTATATTCATGGAAAAATATCCAGACGACCTTGGCTGGAATGCAGGCTTTCTGTGCCTAGGGAGTGAATAAACTGCCTGTCTTACTACCTGGACCTCGGGTATAAGGGATACACATTAAAAACCAACCCCTATTTGAGACCGTGTTTGGCATAATGCTGTTATACAGAAATTCATCTGTAAGTTAAGGGCAGGGAATGACGTGATTACAGAAGAAGTTTGAATTCCTCTGAAGTAGGACACTTGTGAAGATCCTCTGAGTGGGAACTAAGGAAGATCATAGAAGAGACAGGAAGTGGATTTAAACAAAACTGAAGATAATGACGACCGTGCCCTCGCTATGTGGCAGGCACAGTGCCACTCATGTTAAATCAGGAACTCCGTGCTCACCACCTCCCCTCAGGGCAGGCGTTTAAACTCCCACCAGTTTATACATAAAGATATGGTGGCAAAGTAACTCTCTTAAGGTCCCAAGTTGGTGAAAAAATGGCCAGGAATGGCCACCAAATGTCTGCCCCCAGAGTCCTTACCCTTCCCACATGCCGTGCAGTTCTGATGGGAAGGGGGCTCACCAGGAAAGTGAGGGGAGCGGGGGTGACAGCAGAGGATGCAAGACAGAGTCCTGGGGATGGTGGAGGCCTGACAGGCGACAGTGCTGGAATGTGCCAACACATCCAAACCCGGGCGTGCGGGCGGCTGGCACACCACACGAGCGGGGCTCCTGGTTTGGCCATTCTATAAAACCGCCCTAAGACTTTCCACCCACCGCTTTAGCTGCTCAGAGCGCCCACGCACACGGTCTGTGTTTACGCTAATACTAATTTGTGCTATTTACACATTTTGCGAAAGAGTATGTGCATTTAGCGTGTCTCAATCTGCCTGTCTGGCCTCAATCTGCCTGTATCTCATGGTGACAGGCAGATGTGGTTAAGAGCGTGGACCCTGGAGCCAGACTGTCTGGGTTCCAGCCCCTGCCTCCTGGAGCAGATTCTCTCTGTGTCTCAGTTTCCTCCTCTTTAAAAATGTGGGTAGCAATGGTAGCACACATCCTAGGGGTGTTGAGAAAATTAAGTGGATTGCCATAGAAAAAGCACTTAGAAGTTACTCCCATTGTTGGTATTATTTCTGGGGTTGGCATGGGGTTGTAGAAATGCGGATTCGTTAATGTTATTAAGTAATTATTGTGAATTTTTTAATATTAAGTACTGTTGTTAATAATTAACTCAGGGCCCAGCACCAGGTATATAATCATGAAATACCGAAAGTTAAAAGAATAACACAGATGGATCACCTCTTTCTCTTCTAGGTGCTCTCTGCCTAGGCAGGGGCACCTGAATTGCCCGGCACTTTGCTGCCTTCCTTTTCCTTGTCGTGATTGGAGATCGTAGGTACTCTGTACGGCCCCACCGTGACCTTCCATCGCGCACTCTTTCTTGCCACCGTGGTCTGTTGTCCTGATTGTCGCAGCAGCTCTGATGCCCCTAGTGTGCGTATGCAGTGCTGACCTCTCATCAGAGATTCGTCCTCTCCACTCTGGCTGCCGCCTGGCCGGATGTTCTCTCTTGATGGTCCTGCTGTCATCTCTGAGTTTATACCCAAAGCTCCACAACTTGGCCCTTTGGACCTCCCCAGCCTTCCTTCCGTGATTCCTTTGTTCCCCACCACCCGCCGAGGAAAATGCCTGCCTGTCTCACCGACACACGTTGGCTGCGGTCTCCTGGCGAGAGAAAGCCGACTGCGCCCTCCCTCCGTGCTCCTTCAGAGTGCACTCCTGTCTGTGTTCTGCAAAATGCCATTCTTTCCAGCAGCCTCAGACCCCTTCTTCGGGAGACCCCTTCCTTTTCCCTGATGGTACTTTGTGCACAGAGAGTCCTGGGACCATTCTGAAGATTAATTAAGATAATGTGTTTGAATCAACTAGCAGAGTACCTGGCCCTGTCTCATGGCATGCACGGTCTTCTGTGGCGTGACCTCGTCATGTGACCTGCCCTGCTCCCCTTGCCTGTCGGCAGCTAGATGTGCTTCATCCTCACAGGGTCCACAGCTCTTGCTGCAGTGTTTCGTGCCACTGTTTCTGTCTAATGTCATCGACGCAAAGCTCTCCCTTTGCTTACGCTCGAATCTCTTCTCAATCTGCCCTGATTTTTCCTGTCCTATCAGTTCTTCCTTTGAAACAATCATACGTTTTTTTTTTCATGCCATTTGCATTCCCAGTGTCTGCCATCTCTTCATCATGCATGTAGATTCTTCTCAGACCCCTTCACTGCCCACCCCACCCCCACCCCGCTTTCTCCAGTGAGGAGCTCAGAGGGAGCCCACAGCATCGCCCCCTCTCCTGGCCTCCCCGGCCCACAGTGAGTGACTGCCGTGGCCCTGCCTTCCTGGTTGCCCCTTCACATCATCGTACAGCTTCCTTCCTCCTCACATTTCTGAATTCTGATAGTTTGCTGATCGAAGGCCCATTTCGGGGTGGGGGGAACCTAACTCCTCCAAGGCACTATCATCAACTCATTTTTCAGCTGCCCCCACTAAAGCTCTATGGGGAGTCTCGTTTGCACACTGGCATTTTAGCAGGACTCAAAATGTAAAGAAATGCGTATGTACTTTGTGGGAGTATAAAGACGTGGCAGATGGCTGACTGAGGTTCTTTGCACGTGCAGAAATCCTGCAAGGCGCTGTGCGGTTCAGCAACAACCCTGTCCTCTGCAACGTGGAAACCATCCAGTGGCGGGATATCGTTGACAACGATTTCATAAGCAACATGTCGATGGACTTCCAGAACCACGTGGGCAACTGTAAGTGTTCTACAGACGTCCCCTCTGCCTGTAGCTCCTGTGGTGGGACAGAGCCGTGGTGCTTTGGGGTCGGGAGGGGGTGGGGGTGGCGGAAAGCTGAGCCATTGTTTAAGTCACATTAATCTAAACCCAAGATATCTAGCGACAGTTGATCTGCCCACGAGAAGAGCACCTATTTAAGACAGAGGGAAAGTCTGTTTTGGCAGATCACCCCTGAGACAGTTGAGCCCTCGTGTGGCCGTTGAGTCCTGGCACGGGGGGTTCTCCCGTCCTGGCTGGAGGAGGCAGACCAAACTTTTGTGTGCTTCTGACTTGCTGCTGAGCCTCAGAGTGATGCCAGGTCCCTCCGGAAGCACTAAGCTGACCTCCGCCCTCCTACACGGAGCCTCAGGCAAGGTTGGGCACAGCACACAGGGCGGGAGTCTGTCCGTATTCCCCCTAATGCCCATGACCTAGTCACTGCCATTCATCAGTAAAGCGGCCCGTGCCAGGGAGAGGCTGGCAGGGGGCCAGGCTGTAGGTCAAGGCTGTACCCCTTGGCTCCCTGGCAGTGCTGTATGGGAATCTGCAGACACTTGCCTACAGTTACCAGGCTCCGCTAAGCATCCCCCTTCCTGATCTCCCTCGTCTTTCAATCCTTTAAAATAAGAAGCCATCCCCATTTCCTGCTTCTCTGTTTCCCTAAACTATGCCATGGATGCATGTTTTTGTTTGGGGTTTTTTCTGGTTGTTGTTGTTGTTGTTGTTGTTTTCTTTGGTCTCAAAGAATTTGGAGCGCACACGGCTCTTCAAAATAGACTGGAACCCCTTTGTGGGGATTTCACTTAATCTTACTGATTTGTTTGTTTGTTCGTTGTGGTGAAATACCTCTAAGGTAAAATTTACCATCTTAACCATTTTTAAGTATACAGTTCACTGGTATTAAGTACATTCACACCGTGGTGCAATCATCACCACCCTCCATTCTTTAAAACTCTTTTCATCTCACGAAACTGAAACCGTGTCCCCATCAAACATTAACTCCCCGTCCCTGCCCCCAGCCCATGGCAGCCACTGTGCTACTTTCTGTCGGTGTGAGTGTGGCTATTCTAGGGAGCGCGTACAGGTCGGGTCACATAGTTTTTGTCTTTTTGTGGCTGGCTTCGATCACTTATAATGTCCACGAGTTTCATCCATGTTGTAGCATACATCAGAATTTCTTACCTTGATGTGGATGAACAGTATTCTGTTGCATGTGTATACGTACCCACATCCCACATGCTTTGTTTCTCCGTTCATTAGTTGATGTGCTTTTGCGTTGCTTCCATCTGTTGACAATTATGAACAACGCTGCTATGAACATGGGTTTTGAGCCCCTTGGTTTAATAAGTAGATTATTCCCACACATACTCAGCAGGGCACCTACTGTGTTTGCAAGAAACTGAAACCTGTATTTTACGACACAAGATTTTGTGTTATCCATCACATCAAGGTTAACCTTTCCCTAGCTATCTGATGGACAATGAGGAAGTTAAATCGTGCACATTTATGACGACAACAACAAAAACAAAAACTGACACAGGAAGGCTGTGAGGCTTATATGGGTTTCCTGTACATGAGGTCAGACAGCCTGAATGGCACACGTGCCCCCATCACACCAAGACCATGGGAAAGACCCAGAAGAAAGTGTTGGGAAGGAAGAATGACAGGTGCACGCAATAACAAGATTCAAATACAACAAAGCCACAAATTGCAATCTGATAGGATATTGGGTCAAGAATAGATATGTAACAATAAGCCACCAATATGTAAGAGAAAGACAGTAAGAATAAACCTTGCTAAATTAAATGTCCATGAAGAAATGACATTTCAAGCAAATAAGGGAAGAATTCATTATCCAGTAAATTCCTCCAGAATTATTTAACTGTTAAGGAGAAAATGTCAAAGTGACAGAACTGTAATGATTGTTTTAAAAAGGAACACCATTCCCTGGCCATCCTTATTAATCCCCTGACCGGCGACAAGTGCAGGAGTCTGCTGCTGTCCTTGTGGAAAGGGAAACCCTTCCCTTTCCAGCCCTTTTCAGGCCACACATATCTTCTGAGAACTTGTCTTCTTAAATTTTTAGCCAAAAAATCTGATAAGGTGATTTAAGTATTTTATGGACAATGGATTTGAGATTCAGAAAGGTTACCCAGGGTGCCCCTACACTACGTTATTGTTGATTTGTTTGGCAATCAAAGTTATATCAGGTGGGTTTACTTAAGAGGAAACTAAAATAAATCAATCATCCACTTTGTACATCCATATCAATCCCAAATCATATTATATGTAATAAATCACTGAATATATATGTAAGTGCTAGAAGGAAACTTAAAGGTGAATGTGTGTCATATCAAGTTGGAGAAAAGCCAGTCAGATACCATAAACCGTGTTAACGACAAACAGAAAATATTGTGCGTCATCTGCTTGCCTTGGAAAGGGCTAATATTCTTGATGATAAGAATGTATAAAGTAGTCTTAGGAATCCCAAGAAAAAGGTGAACCTCCCAATAAAAAAAGAAAAATGGGCCAAAGACATGAACAGTTTGTATCTCCCCACACACAAGATGGCCAAGAAATAAAGTAAGAAGTTATTTCTTACTGTAATTTTAAAAGGGTCAAAATAAAACAAAGAAGCATCTCATTTTTGTCTTTGCTAAATATTTGGATTCCTTTTGATTTTTAGATACTCAGATCAGGAAGGGTATGGAGAAGCAGAAATTCTCATATTCTTCTTGTGGGCATATAAAATAATAAGACATGGTCAGGGATAGAATTTTGGCAATATGTATTGAAGCTTTAAAGTATGCCCCACCCCCCTGAACTATGAACTTCATGTCTAGGAATAAGAAAAAATTATAAGGAGAATGAAAATTATAGGATATAAAAAAATTATTTTTGTACAAAAATATTCCTTGCAGCCTTATTTATAATGGATTTTGGAAGGAACTTATATATCTAAAAATAAGAGATTGGTTAAAGAAATTATGATACAACCATGCTAGTAAAAATACTGAGAATGTAGTGGGTGCATAACAGCCCCACCAGATTAGACACACTTAATGTCATGGGAGAAGCTGAAAACTTCTCCCAAGCTTAAACAAATATGGGAAACTGGACCATTGAGTTCATTTGAATTCCAGTCTTCATAGCCTGTGACAAGTCCATAATTACTCTCTGCCTCAGTTTCTACAGCTGAAATGTAAATAAAAGCAGAATGTGGTTCATCTTTTTTTTTTTCTTATCAAAGTCTTTTGAATCATCTTACAAGTCAACCAGCAAATAAACAGAGAATAAGAAATGTGAAAGCTGTTCCTTGTTTCTAGAACATCATGTTGCTCAGGGGTTTGGGCAGTCCCTGCCATCAGCCTGCTTGCTTCCTCTGAGATACGAATTCAACTATTACCTTTACATTTTAGGCCAAAAGTGTGATCCAGGATGTCCCAATGGAAGCTGCTGGGGTCCGGGAAAGGAGAATTGCCAGAAATGTAAGTCAGCAAACAAAATTTCGGATAAATGTGTGCCCACCTTCTTCCCCTTATGCTTAGCGAACTGTATGTGTTTTCCCTTTGAAGATTCCTAAACGCGGTCTTGTTTTAAGGCCAGATGTGAGCAGTTATGTGAATGACATTCTTGCAGATCTCCCTGCATGCGGTTAATCCAGAGTGGGCTCTTTGGGGCACTCCAGCCTGTCATAAGTGAGTGAAAGCCAGCCACACGCATACAGCCACTCTCTCTGAGCAGTATGTTTGGCAGATCTTCCTGGGAACAGAAGACTCGGCCATGTTACCTGAGCGTCACAACACTTCTTATTTTCTCTCTCTTGGGAGCCCGCCTATACAAAAGCAGGAGGAATGCTTCTCAGGAGGGTTTTTCTGCAGGAATCCTAGTTTACGAGCATGGGTGGCCTAGGGATCTGGGGAGCTGTCACCTTAAAAGTTCATTATCTGTCCTTCAGTTTAATTGTGATGTGAGGGTTTCGCCCTTTTAAACACTCCTTTCTGGCAGCATTTCTGTTATTTGATGTGCTTTCCATATCATCCAGAATCTCAGTTCTAACTAACATGTAATTATCGAGCAGGTCCAGAAGTCTAGACTTGATCTGGTTAGTTCTCCTAAGTGATTAAAAATAAGTAGAAAACAGAGGCGCAATAAAGAAATGTCATGATTCAGTGTTATTAGGCAGAGCGTGAATGTTTGGGAACATTTTAACGAGCCAGGAATCACTAAATTCATCACCTGGTTCACGTTTTCATCTGTTTCCAAGTGCTCTGCAAGGTTCCTGAGGAATGACCCTTCCCTGGCTCTTCAGCTCACAGGTGACTTTTGCTCCTTTTCAGTGACCAAAATCATCTGCGCCCAGCAGTGTTCCGGGCGCTGCCGCGGCAGGTCCCCCAGCGACTGCTGCCATAACCAGTGTGCTGCCGGCTGCACGGGGCCCCGAGAGAGCGACTGCCTGGTAAGGCTCACCCCTCCCCCAGCCCGACCACAGCATCTGGTATCGTCCCGCCTTCACCACTCACCTTGTGACTTCAGGCAAATCATATGACCCCTCTGTGCCCCGGTTTCCTCCCCTGACAACGATGGATAGCAAATACCCACCTGTTAGGTTATTTAAGTGACACAGCGCATGTGGCATCCATAACTGGGACCTGGGCATCGAATGAGCATCAGAATAAATACGAGCTCTCTGGGTTAATGTGTATTGCGGCCAGTAGCACTGTTCTCACACTCTTTATTGTTCCATGTCAGTCTCAGTATAAACCTATGGAGTTGATTTCGTAAGGCCCCCAACCTGGATACAGAGATGTTACGCGACACATCCAGAGCCACACGGATCTCAGCACGGCTTGGAGCTATGTTTGGATCTTCGGACCGAGTCCTTCTGCTCCTTCCACCACAGCTCAGAGCCTCTGCCCACACCCCCGACACAAGGTCTTGAAGCAGTCGCTTTTGTCCCTGGCAAAAGCCTAGTGTCCCAGGGGCTGTGGGCACCACATGTAGGTGGTACCTCAATTGTGGGCACCATGGGAGTCCTGGAGACACCAGGGCTGGCAGATGTGTGTCTGGAGGCAGCACCAAGTGCTATGACGCCCTTGTGGGCTCCGGGCGAGGAGGCCCACCTAAGGTGGAATCCAGAAGACTCCCAATTTGAGGGAAGGGAGGATTTTTAAAGTCCAGAGGCTGGACCTGGCCAGGATTTTGACTTGGTTCGTCTGGGCTGATTGTAATGTGCCCCTGGAAGGGAGATGGCATGTAGGTCTCAGGGCCATGACCGTATATGGTCTGGTCCCCTCTGCATGGTACCCTTCCTCATCAAGGTTATCTGTAATTTGGCAGTAAGTGCTAAAATATATCCTCCAGGCTCTGTGCTGGGTGTGAAGCCTGCTGAGATCCTCTCTCTCCCTCTGCCTCTGTCTCTCTCTCTTAATCTCTGTCTCAAAAAAATAAAAGTAAAAATAAAATGCTTTTTAAAAAATGGGGCACCTTGATGGCTCAATCCAGTAAGTGTCAGACCTTTGATTTTGGCTCAGGTCATGATCTCACAGTCACGAGATTGAGCCCTGCGTCAGGCTCCATGCTGGGCCTGGAACCTGCTTGAGATTCTTTGTCTCCCTTTGCCTCTGCCCTTTCCCAAAATAAAAATAAAAAATAAATGTTTAACATATATCCTCAAGTGTTCCTTATAAGGAAACCCAATGTAAATTGAGTTTAAATATAATTTCACTCTATAGTTCTCACTCTAGTATGTGAACTCCTGCATCCTTTCGTAGTTAATAAAGATGTATTTTTTTCCATCATAAACCATAAATTATCACAGCTAAGACAGTGTAAGAAAAATCATACTTTTAAGAAAAAGGTCTTTCTGACTCTACTGAAAGTACTTGGCCAGTTTTTTTTTTGTTTTTTTTTTTGCTTGTTTTTGTCTTCTTTTTTTTGCTTGAATCAAATTCCTGGACATTGGGAACTATAACCTGAGCTTTCTGCACAGAATTGACACAGTGCTGAGCGTCCTTGCCAGTTTGACCAGTGCATGTCCCTCCTGTGAACAGGTCTGCCGCAAGTTCCGGGATGAAGCCACGTGCAAGGACACCTGCCCGCCACTCATGCTCTACAACCCCACCACCTACCAGATGGACGTCAACCCAGAGGGAAAATACAGCTTTGGTGCCACCTGTGTGAAGAAATGCCCCCGTGAGTTCATCACATGCAAAACCCTTTCAGTTATCAGGCATCCATTTCCTGTTTTATCTCCTAATCCTTGAGTCCCTCTGTCTTGGGTAATCTTTTTGTCCGTATGTTTGCCTCACTGTCAGACAGGTGACTGTAGGCCTGTCCAATGGTATAGGGGACGGGTTAAGACACTGCCACAGGTGACAGGCGATGGCTGGTGCCCTGTTCACCACTGTCAGTTTTCACATCCATGGTGGCCAGGACAAGAAACACACCCTGGGACCGAGGTCCAGCTGTACTGGTCCAGAATATCAGTTGTCTGACTGGCACAAACCCGTGGCCACTGGGTCATTTCACTGTTTAGCTCTTGCCCCAGTAGACCTAAGTTAAAGAGTGTGTCACAAGACCCGTCCTCTTTAGTGGTTAAAATCCTGGTCAAAATTGTGCCTTCTAGAGGTTCTAACACTGCACAGGAGGGGTTTTGTGTATTGGTTTGTTTTGTTTTAATTGTTTTGAATTGGGTTTTGCTTATTTGTATTTGCCCTCTACAGATGGCTATAGTATTCAGGTAAATGGTGATAGGAATTATGTCCTAAAAGAGAAAGTGTAGAGTTGTCTAATTAAAAAGCTTTATAAACCATTCCTAATTTCTAGGAGTGAAAATTAACCAAGAGAAAAAAACAATTGTAAGTACCATTATGAGAGGGAGCATTGCCCTACCAGATTTGTGGACATGCAAACCTTTAAATTCTATACAGAAAAAATAATTTACAAATTGAACAGTACACCATGGTAATGGGAGACTAACTGAATAAAATTTCTAAAAATTGCCACAATTATGACACAGGTATCATTTTTGATGGAGGGCTTACTAGGTAGAGTTTAAAAATCCACAGGAGGGGCGCCTGGGTGGCTCAGTCAGCTAAGCATCCAACCTTGGCTCAGGTCATGATCTCACAGTCCATGAGTTCAAGCCCCACGTCGGACCCTGTGCTAATAGCTCGGAGCCTGGAGCCTGCTTCTGATTCTGTGTCTCCCTCTCTCTCTGCCCCTCCCCTGCTCATGCTCTGTCTCTCTCACTCTCAAAAATGAATAAATGTTAAAAAATTTTAAAAAATAAAAAATAAAAATCCACAGGAAAACAGGGCGCCTGGGTGGCTCAGTCAGTTAAGCGCCCAACTTCGGCTCAGGTCTTGATCTCATGGTCGGTGAGTGTGAGCCCCGCGTCAGGCTCTGTGCTGATGCCTCGGAGCCTGGAGCCTGCTTTGGATTCTGTGTCTCCCTCTCTCTCTGCCCCTCCCCTGCTCACGATCTGTCTCTCTCTCTCTCAAAAATAAATAAACATTAAAAAAAGAAAAAAAAAATAAATCCACAGGAAAACAGAACCTGGGAGAAAAGCAGACAATTTACAGAAAGAAAAATTACAAATGTCCAAGAAATATGTGTGAGGACATACTGGGGGAAGTCAAAACAGGAACACTTAGAGCTCCAGAAACATTGATATTTATGTTAAATTAAGTCAGCGTGAGGGGAGGCTTGCAAGATGACTCATGTGCCTGGCTTCATGCAGCACCAGCTGTCCCAGCCCCCAGCAAAGGGAAGGTTGTCAGGCTGGACAGAACCACAGAGGGCAGCAGGTCTGCCACACAAATTACGCGTATCCCCAGATGAGGCAGCTTCGCTGGAAGAGTGGGCTTCGTTCGGGGTCACTTAGTTTTAATAAGTATTCAGGCTTTAACCATAGGTCCTGAAGTTAGAACGTCCAGAAAAATGAGCTGTGAGGAGATGTTTCCAAACTTGTGAGCAGACACCACGTTCTACCTGACACGTCCGTCTCCTACGTGCTGAAATCTATTTCTCCATGTCATGGCTGCGTAAGCTGTTAAAAACTCTTGAACTAGATACCTTGTCTGTTTGCAACCTTTCGTTCTTTGTCCTTAAAGTAAATAAAAGCAGAGGATGATAGGCCCCTTTCATCCGCCCCTTTGTAGGAGAACAGGTGACAACTGTGTGAGGCCCAGAAACACCTGTTGCTGCTTTCAGCACCTTCCTTTCCTTATCTCTCCCCAGGTAACTATGTGGTGACAGACCACGGTTCGTGTGTCCGTGCCTGCAGTTCTGATAGCTACGAAGTGGAGGAAGATGGCGTCCGCAAGTGTAAAAAGTGTGAAGGGCCTTGCCGTAAAGGTAGGAGGCCTGTACGGGGTGGGGATGAGGCTTTCTCTCTGGTCACAAAGCTGGGGGTTTTCTGCCCTACCTCCGCCGGACCCCCCTCGGCATCAGACTCGGGAAGAGATTTGAGCAAGTCTTTTTCTTCAGGCTCGCAAATTTGTTCCTTCATCCCGTGCCCTGTTCTTGGAGTATCCTCAATGCTAGCGTGCTCCTACTTGGGCTTTTACTTTATAATTTTTGTAAAAATTTTTGAACCCCCAGAAACATCGCAGGTATGGTGCAGTGAACACCATATACCTCTCATATATGAATTCGCCACTGGTTGGCATTTTGCCACATTGCGTTCACTGTCTCCATATTTGTGTGTATGTGTGTGTGCGTATGTTATGTGCGCATGCATGGGTGAAATTGTTCTCTGATCTATAGGACAGTTACAGATATTGTAACACTTCACCCCTACGTCTGTCAGCCTATTTTCTTACAAAGGGGGCCATTCTCCTAAGTAAAGAAAGACCACGTTCACACTCAGGATTGTTGAACATCGACTCAATACTCTTTCCTAGTATTTTACGTAGTTCAGACTTCCTCTTTCTGTCCCCATTATGTCATATTTAGCTGCTTTTCAATCCAGACCCCAATCAACAATCATGGGTTTCAGGTAGATGTCTTGCCCCCATTTTCTTCATTACTTGACATTTGTGGCTCAGCTCCCCTCACCCCACTTGCTTTCCTTCTGTCTTACGTGACCTGATGTGAAGAGTCTAGGCCAGGTATTTTGCAGTAGGTCCCTCAGTATGGCTTCACTGGCTGCTTTTCCTCATGGTCACATTCACGTTGAGCTTTTTTGGGCAGGAGCATTATACGTCATGTTGATTTCCTCTCATCGTCTCACAGCAAGGGACATAGGATGCCATGTTAGTTCATTACTAATGATGACAAATCAGAAAAGATTTTTGGGTGGTTATAAAAGAGTGACTTCCTATTTCTGTCATTTCTTCTACATTTATTAGTTGGCATTCTTTAAAAAAAATTTTTTTTTACCTCCTACATGAGATCATGGAATCCTTCTTTATTCAAGTTCTTGTAATTCATTCCTGTCATTCCTTTGGGTGCTCAAATTAGCTCAACATGTGGCCGGTGGGAGCCCCTACAGCTGGCTCCTGTGTCCCAGTCGTGTCTTCTGCTCAAAAGCCACTGTCTACGCTCTTTGTACTTTGCTTCTTAAACTTCATATATCCTAGGGGCGCCTGGGTGGCGCAGTCGGTTAAGCGTCCGACTTCAGCCAGGTCACGATCTCGCGGTCCGGGAGTTCGAGCCCCGCGTCAGGCTCTGGGCTGATGGCTCAGAGCCTGGAGCCTGTTTCCGATTCTGTGTCTCCCTCTCTCTCTGCCCCTCCCCCGTTCATGCTCTGTCTCTCTCTGTCCCAAAAATAAATAAACGTTGAAAAAAAAAAA